GACGTGAAGCGTTTCTCGGACCTTGGGTCATGAGAAAAGCTTTTTCCAGGCTGTGGTCTGTCTTTCCAGCTGTCTTTCTTGGTCTTTGTTTTCTGCTTTTGTTTGGTTTTATTTTGCCACAAGAAAAGCTAAGCATCTCCCTTCTGGCTCTGGTTTCACAGTTAGAACAGCAGTGCCTACCACGAGATTATGCACAGAGTTACTAAAAGGGCTTCATTTGGTATGTCTCATCTTTAATCCATCTGGATTTTCCTCTCAAAATACAAAAAAGCTAATTCACATGAAAACAAACAAACAAACAAATCACCCGTCCCTACTTAAGATATGTGGGCAAACAAACAAACAAAAAAGCCACCTTTTATATGATTTCATTGATAGGGAGCCTCCAGGATAGGTAAAGACATACAGAGAGAAAGGGGATTAGGGCTTGTCATGGGCTGGGGGAGGTAGGGTGTGGGGTGCACTTTGTATACAAGCTTTTACTTTGAGGAAGGAAATAGCCTGAAACCAGTGGTGTTGGTCTCACAGCATTGTGAATGCACTTAATGCTTCTTAAAATTGCACAATTTAAAATGGGAAAAGGCTAAACTTTATTCTTATATACTTAAAACAAAAATAGAATATACTATAATAGAAAAGAAAAAAATCTGACTCCATAGAAGATCTGTTTTTTGGCTTTAACCCTGTGTCCTCTTTTCTAGGCTTAGTCTTACTAGTTCTCCACCTTTTGTAAAACAATGTTGTCTTTAGCCTGAAATATACAGGAGAGCCTATTTTTAAGGCTCTGATCTTTAAGGATATTAACACTTTTGTACTTATATAAAGACAACAAGCTGCAGAATAGAAAATAACTTTTGTTTTGTTAGAGGATTTACAGAGGCACTATGACTTGGTTTACGTAGATAGCTGCAGACCAAGATAATGGCAGACTAATATCTTGGAGAACCATCTTCCCCAAGTCAGACTTCAGGCTCCCTTTCTACTAAAAAGGGGAGGGGCTGTGGTTGGTTGTTGCAAACTTCTTGGTGTAGGATTTCTTTGTTCTTGGAATCTTTTGCAGCTGTCCACATGGGTCAGATCATGGTGTTCCCATAAAATCTGCAACAAAACAAACTTTTTCTATTCAGCAACTTCTTATCTTTATAGGAGTGTAAAAGTGTTATTTCAGGCTAAAGGCAACATTGTTTTACAAAAGTTGCAGAGCTAGCAAGACTAAGTCTAGAAAACACGGCAGAGGGTTAAAGAAAAGGAACAGATCCAATATGGACTCAGATTTGTTCTTCTCCATAACAAAGCCTTTTGGTGAGAGCTAAGAGGATGATTCCTGGGTGGGTCCTCCACTGTCCCAGGCTGGAGTTCAGGCAGAATCCCTGCCAGATTCACCATGATTTTGGACCTGATCTCCCGCAGAGAAAGTGACAATTATTGGATTAAAATTACCTGTCAAAATCCCTTCAATTTCCTGTAAACTATACCACAGCAGGGGATGTCTCATTGGCCAGTCAACTGCCAGTCTCCTCTGATGCAAGGGACCAGCGTCGCCGCAGGCTTCATGGTGGCCTGACCAGTGCACCTTCCTACTTTGCTCTCCAGCCTTGGCTTCCTAACTTTGACATTTTAAAAGCTCCTGTCTCTCTTCCCGCTGGCCTGGTGTGAATGAACAAGATCCCTGCATCCACCTGGGCTGAGCTCAGGCCACGCACACAGCCCATCATCTGATGTCTACCCCTGGGCTCAAGTGCACCCTCTGAGCTCCTCAACCCCAAAGTTCCATGTGACCAGTGCCTCCGCCCTAGGGGTCCAGATCATCATCAGGACAATCAACCACCCAAGGCCCACAGGGCAGTGGCTGTCAGCCTGGGATCACCCTGACCCATCGGGTCAGTTGAGGCACAAGGTGCGGGGATCAGGGTGCCAGGGCGGGAATTCGAACCTCCTTCAGGCCAGCCTGCCTCGCCATGCAGCCTAAGACATTAAGTATGAAGGTGCACACTGGGCAGGATCCCTCACTGGTGGCAGTAGTCATCATTACTGGAGCCCGGATTTTCCCACCCCAACTACAGGGTGAGGGGTGAGGGAGTGAGCTCAGGGTAGGGGTGCACTCAGAGTGAAGGGGATCCCATGGTGAGGGGGTACAGGTTGAGGGGTGTGGGGCCCACTGAGAGTGGAACTGACATGGCTGAGGGGTGAGGGGGACAATTTCAGGATGTTGGGGGTCCTGTGGTGAGGCATGAGGGGTAAGCTTGTGGGTGAAGGGGCCATAGGTTAGGACCTAGCAGGATGGATTGTAAGGGCAGGGACCTCAGTGTGAGGAGAAGGAGCCCTGTCTTCAAGGTCTGGTGGGAGCCTGGCCTGGCCAGGGGTGGGAGGGTAGTAACAGGGAGGGGAAGGTGAGCAGTTGAAGTGGGGCTGGCGGTGTGTGGCCTGGCCCAGGGCAGTCGTGGTTCTAGTTCAGTGCCAGGACCCAGTCGGTGGCAGGGTGAAGGCTCTGGGGATGGAGTCTCAGCGGGACCAGCAGGAGGGGACCCAGCTGGCTCCTCCCAGCCCCAGTGGCCAGGTCCTGTAAAGCAGGAGACCCACCCGAGAAGCTTGCACTGCAGGCGGGAGGTGGAGGGGTGCACACACGCAGACGGACAGACGCACGGATGCCGGAACCCGCCCAGAAGGCGTGGAAGCTGGCGGGAGCCGGTTGCTCCTGGACCCGCTCCTGGAAGAGGAACACGGCCTGGGGTCTGGGCCGCCGCCTACCCTCGGCTCAGCTGCCACTGCCGGGCAGTTAAGGGGGCGCTGGTGGGGACGCTCTGCTCGGGGAGCCGGCGGGTGACGCCTGGGCTGTGCGGCTGGGGAGGCGCACAGGGAGGGGTGCGGAGGTGAGGTCCAGGCTGCGCGTCCCGTTAGGACCCTGAGGCGGGTCCCAGCCACCGCTGTGGTTCGTGGTAACCCCGCTATTAGTAGTTCCTGAACCCCGTGTTTTTCCCACCGCTTATACCCGAGTTTAGGAGAGCAGGTACAGCCCCATGAGGTGGGAGGGTGCCGGATGGCTCCGGAGCATCTCCGAATGTCCCTCAGACCAGGGCCTGCTCCCAGGAGGCAGTTGCAGTGCGGTCGCGGGGCCTCGGATGGAATGGGGGCTGCCCCATGAAAGCCCCTGAATTTGCTCCCATCTTCCCAACGACCTGAACTTGGGGGAGGCCTCTAAAGCCCCAGGTTCGTGGGACTCAGGTTATATGTCAGTCTGCTCCTGGGAGGTGGGCGCAGTGCGATCAGTGTGCTGGGATGGTTGCAGCAGCAGCGGGAAATGGTCGCAACCCCCACGCTCTCACAAGGTAGCCCCAATCCCGCCATCGCAGGCGCCGCAATTCCCTGACAGCACAGTACCCGCCTTCCAGGAGCAGGCTGACCTGTAACCTGACTTCCACGAACCTGGGGCAGCAGAGGCCAAGCTCAGGCCATGCGCTGGGGAGTTTGAAGCAAATCCACGGGCTCCCATGGGCAGACCCCATAACCAGCCACTGCCTTCGACCACACCGCGCCCTCCTCCCGGGAGCAGGCTGACCTGGGGACCGTGCCTGGAGTAGCAGAGGCCGAGCCCTGGACAGGCAGTGGGGGAGATGGGGGCAAATCGACCAGCTTGCCAGGTCGCTGCCCATCTTCCTGACTCTGCCCCAGGTTCGTGGATCACTTGTTTTCAAGTCAGTGGTTTCCTGAGAGGCAGGCACGGTGCGGTCAGGAAGCGGGGGCTATGGGGAGGGGTGCTGCGCCAGGGGGAGCAGATGGACTTGCTCCCATCTTCCCCAGGGACAGACCTGGGGAAAGTCTCTGCTGCCCCAGGTTTGCAGGATGTATGTCATGTCAGCCTGTCCCTGGGAGGAGGGCTCAGTGTACTCGGGGAAGCCTCAGTGGCTGACGAGGGTTTTAGAGGTGGGCTCTAGCTCAGCATAACTAACTCTCCTTTCTTCTCTCGCTTCCTCAGTTGGTGGCTGTATCGGCTTTTTCATTATAGGTTATTCCTGGATAATGAACATAGGTTTCTGAGCTATACAGAAGAAACTTTATTTAAAATCTATTTTTATATATAGTGGCTAACATTTGTAAATCTGAAACTCCCAAATTTATCCCTTCCCATCCCCTTTCCTTGGTAACCTTAAGATTGTTTACTAAGTCTGCAAGTCTGTTTCTCTTTTGTAGATGAGTTCACAGTGTCTTTTTGTCTTTTTTTTTAGATTACACATATGTGTGGTATCATTTGGTATTTTTCTGTTTCGGGCTGCTTTCACTTAGAATGATGATCTCTAGCTCCATCCATGTTGCTGCAAATGGGTTTATTTTGTCCTTTTCATGGTAGAGTAGTATTCCAGTGTATAAATATACCAGAACTTATTTATCCAGTCATCTGTTGCTACATTTAGCTTGCCTCCATGTCTCTGCTATTGTATACAGTGGTGCTATGAATACTGTGGTGCAGGTATCTTTTCACATTGGAATTCCTTCCAGTTATATACCCAGAAGTGGGATTGCTGGGTCATAGGGTAAGTCTACTTTTAGTTTTTTGAGGGATTTCCATGCTTTCCATAATAACTACACCAAACTGGATTCCCACCAGCAGTGTAAGAGGGTACCCTTCAATCTACAGCCTTTCTTACCTTTATCATTCATGGACTTCTGAGCGATGGCCATTCTGACTGCTGTTAGCTGATACCTCATTGTAGTTTTGATTTGCATTTCTCTGTTTATTAGTGATATTGAGCATTTTTTCATGTTCCAATTGGCCATTTCTGTCTTCATTGGAGAAATGCTTGTTTAGGTCTTCTGCCTATTTTTGGATTGAGTTTTTTTTTTTTTTGTTATTAAGTTGTATGAGCTGTTTATATATTCTGAAAATTAAGGCTTTGTTAGTCGTATCATTTGAAAATATTTTCTTCCATTCGTAGGTTGTTGTTTTGTTTTACTTATGGTTGCCTTTGCTGTGAAGAAACTTATGAGTTTAATTACTTCCCATTTGTTTATTTTTCTCTTATTTCCATTGCCTGGGTAGATTGCCCTAGGAGAACATTGCTAAGATTTATGTCAGATAATGTTTTGCCTATGTTTACTTTTAGGAGATGTACCATGTCTTGTCCACCTGCATCTTAAGCCTGTACTCTAGATCTGTGCTTCAGTTTTGAATTTTGAGCTTCTTAGAGAACACCTTCTCTTAGCTCATATGTCAGATTCAACATGTCTGAAGCTAATTTCATAATCTTTTTCCTTGCAGCATCTCCACTTATTCAGTGGGATAATCATTCTTCCGGTCTTGAATAACCAAACGCTTGGAATGGTCTTTGATTTATCTTTCTCTCACCACCCTCCACATTTTGTCAGCTTCTGGAACTGTATGTTTTTGGTTTCAAGTGTCTATTCTGATTGCTGATACTCTCATGAAGAGCTTTCATCCCTGATACATGAATTTTTCTTTCTGTTGAATTCTTGGATATTCTCTCCCCCCACTTTCAGTCAACCTACAGTTTTGACCCTCCAACATCTAGAGTCAAGTCAAAGACTTACCACAACCAGATCTCAGCCAGGTATTCTCAACCCTCCATCATTTTGGCCTTACCTTATGTATTCCAATCATTATGTGACTTAGCCTCCTAGGGTAACTTGTGCCTTATTAAAAACCAGGAGTCACCAGCCTTTTCCTATCCAGTCCTCAGTTAAAACAGCTTAGAATTTCCCTGAGAACTAGTTGGAGAACCATCCCCTTCATAGAGTCTTCCCTATTTACTCCAAGTACTTCTAGCTCCTCTTTGTATTCCTGCAGTGTTTATGAACAGTAGCCTGTAACCTTGGCTTTGAGTACTGACTTGGTACCATTCCCAGGTGGTTTCCTATGTGTCTCCTCACTTAGCTCGTAACTGGAGAAGACTCCCTTGTTCATCCTCCTTTATACCCCTCACCCTGCTTAGCATCGGGCAATAGCAGGCATCCAGGCAGTTCTTATCTACTTTATTTATTCGCAGGGGTGGTGGTGTGGAGTATAGCTAATAACTATTAATTCAGTGTTGCAATTAAAAAAGAAAGACAAGAAAATCTATAAAACTTAATCTCCATGTTCAGTTTAGTGCTTTACCTCAACAGTTTTCTTAACTCTGTGTTTACATTCACACAGTGTTCAGTGCTTGTACAGTTCCCTGAGGCAAGCAGGTGAGATGTCATTATGTTTGACTTTCACGTTACATTTCATATTGGATATATTTGTGTAATGACAAAACCTTATTTTATAAGTAAACAGCCGGAAGCCCAGAGAGACTAAGAGCCTAACCCAGGGTCAACTGGTTAGTTTTTGGCACATCCCAGGACCGCGGTTTGTATCTTCCAGCTAATCCACTTCCAGTGCCTTTTCATTCCAGTGCTGGGAAATGTAGCCCCATCAGCCAAACGGCCAAGTCCCATTGCTGCCCCTTTACCTGCCAGTGATGGCAGTGCCA